CCCAGGGCGGGCTCGCGGGCAGCGGCCCCATCCTGCGGCACCCGAGCGGTTGGTGGGAGCACAGCCAGGGGAAGGGATTAGTCACCAGCTCGGGGACGGGATGGGATGGGACAGGGTGGGATGGGATGGAGCTGCCTCCATGGGGCTTTGGCTCTTTCTATAGGAGAGGTGAGGAAGAAGCAAGCGGCTCTGGCCCCGCAGGGCTGGTGGGAGCAGCCGGAGGGAGGAAATGCTGCCCACGAGGGGACCCCTAGGATGCATGTGGGGCTGGCGGTGCTGCCACTGGAGTCCCCATGTGCCCAGCTGGCTCCTGCCCACCAGGCTCAAGCCGGCCGGGATAGGATGGTGGCATGGTTTGGAAGTTCCTGGAAGTGGTCCCGGCTTCCCATCTGGCCATGGGACACTCAGCATGGGGTGCCTGGCTGCAGGGCAGAATCATGGGGAACATCTCCTCCAGCTCCACGCGGACCCTCCCTCACCCCCCCTGGAGCTGGACCTGCCAGGCCACCCTTCCCCCTTGTTTGGGCAGACCCTGAGCTTGGAAATCCTCAGGGAAACGCCTTCCCTGGCAGAGGGGGGGATGTGGTGGGCTGCAATGTGGGGCTGATCCTGGCGAGAGGGAGCTCTCGGTGGGGCTGGGACCAGGGGGTCCCACTGGGGTCTTGTCCCCATGGCCAGAGCAGCATCTCCTGACGGCGGTGGGGGTCTCTCCCTGTCCCCAGCCCGTGGCCATGGCCTACCACAGCTTCCTGCTGGAGCCCATCAGCTGCCATGCCTGGAACAAGGACCGCACCCGTAAGTACGGCCGGGGAACCCCATCCCAAAATCCCCAGGGATGACCTGAAGCACCGACTGTCCCAGCTGAACGCCCCAGTGGTGGGCGATGCCCGCCCCCGGCCGTGGCAGAGCTGGGTCAGGGCTGGGTTTGGGGAAGCAGGTCTTGCCACGGATGGGTTTTGGGGCTGGGGACAGCACATGTCCCCCCTACATCCTCCTGGTCCCAGTGCGGGGACAGAGCCTGGGGCAGGGGGTG